TAACCTCCGTCATCTTGCTAGGTCTACCCCAGCAAAGGCCTCTGCAGTCTGTGCCTTTGCTCCTCATGCTGGCCCCCATCTGTCTTCACAGCCTCAAGGCTTCTCTCTTTGCTGACAATTTTTCTCTCAAATGTCATTTTCTCAGGAAGGGCTCTTTACAATTACAGCCTCACTTTTCTCCCCTCCCTTGTTCTGTTTCTTTACCGTTCTTATTACTCGCACACATCTGTCTGTCTGTCTGTCTGTCTGTCTCTCTGCATGTATGTACATAAAATTAAAAAACATAACATGAACTTAATAAAAAGGTTGTGCCACTATTGGGGGAGGGGAAGAAAGGGGAAACATATAACCCTCTCCCAACAGTGGCAATGTCATTGGGAAGGGTAGGGAACTTTGTCTGGAGCATTTGCTTCTGAATGCCTAGCTCCTAAAACGGTATGCAGTAATACTTATTAAATAAACGCAGCATAAATTAGTTAATTTCTGACAGCTTTCCCAGAATGCCACTTTATCCCTCTCATTTTCTAACACTGTGCCTAAAACCTGAAATTTCAGGTAAGGTGGAACTTGGCTTGGGTGCCGCTTGTCTCTTTGGCCACAGCAGGATAGCACAGCTTCCTTCGTAGCACCCCAGGAGAAGTTCTGAAGAGGAAATGGATACCTCAGGACCTAGCCAGTGGCTAACAGATGAGCTAAGGTCAGGGCGTGGTCCCTACCTGAACCCAGGCTCGTCCCTTGCTACAGTGACCAACTTAGAGTCTCAGGGAAACGAACCCAGAGAATGTGTTTGTGTGGAATGAGAATAAAACTTGCATCAGAATCCTGAGCCAATTGGAAGTCCCAGAGCCTGGGGACAGGGCATCTCACAGAACAAGAAGGCAGTGAGGATTTCCAGGGGGAGACGCTTTCCTTGGTTATTCACATTGCCACGTCCTACTAAGCCCTTTGTCATCTGTCTGACATTTTCCCCAACCAGAGTCACCGTGGAAGGCGTCACAGGTCCAGTGGGTCTGTCTTCTGACTTCCTGCCTATCTGGGAAGAGGTGAAAGGGGACTGTCATTGCTTCCAGGCCTGCAGTGTGGGACGCAGGCTGTTCTGCTGTGCAGGGCTAAGGGTTGGGATCCCAGGCCCGGTCCCAGTTCGGGTCACCCTGCTTGCACTGAACTTCAGCTTACGGCCTCGAGGCTCAAACGTGCACCCCAGAACTGTGAAAGGGCCTTCTGACCGGCAGATCCAAATTAGCTGGCTTGTTTTCAGAGTGCAGACTGTCAGTTGGAAAGTACTAGAAAGGGAAAACTGCATAGCTTTCCAGATAAAGGGTTTAACAGTGTTTAACAGTTTCCCTTTCAACCTCTGAACACTGAGAAACTCTAGTTTTGTATAGTTTAAAAACTCATTACCAGCTTGCCCTCCCCCTAGCCTAGCCACCTACTTGTGCATTTATAAGATTTCCTGTTCAATGATGGTAGACGTACTTCTGATCTAGATCGGTCTGGGAGGCATAGATCAAAGAGGAGAAACTTCACAGCGCTGAGTCTTTTCAAAATAGTTATTAAGTTACTTATTCTGCTTTTATGGATTGAGTTTATTGGCATGTTAGATTCTTATATTTTTACATTTTGCTATGGGTTTAGGTCATATAATATATTATATTTAGAATTTTTAATGTCATGGGTGGGCTTCTCTCTTTCTCTCTGTCTCTCTCTATATATATGTACTTGTTACTGGAGGTGTGAGCATTTGTGTATAAATAGAGGCCAAAGTTAATGGTGAGTGTCTTCCCCAACTCCCCTCCTCCACTTATTTGTTGAGATAGGGGGTCTCTCACTGAATTTGAAGCTAATTAATTTTGCTAGGTTGCCTGGCCTATGAGTTTCAGGGGTTTCCCATATCTACTCTCCTTCCATGCCAGGGCTGCAAAAGAATGCAACCAACATGCTTTCTATGAACTTGAGTCCTCATGCTTGAACCAAGGTCTTTTGCAGTTCTAGGCATCTCCCCAGTCACACCAGAGTCAATCGAAATAGTGGATATTAGATTTGAAGTGTTAATCTTTGAATAGTGAAAATAATAGTAGTAGTGATAATAACTATCCTAATGCAATCATTTGGGGGAAATTTATCCTGTGATGTGGACATTGCCAGACATATCTTTTTTTTATGAATTTTTATTAAAAATCTCCAACTCCTCCCCTCCTTCCATTTCCCTCCCCCCACTTCCCTTCCCCCTCCATCTCCAGTCCTAAGAGCAGTCAGGGTTCCCTGCCCTGTGGGAAGTCCAAGGTCCTCCCCGTTTCATTCAGGTCTAGGAAGGTGAGCCTCCAAACAGACTAGGCTCCCACAAAGTCAGTCCATGCAGTAGAATCAAAACCCAGTGCCATTGTCCTTGGCTTCTCAGTCAGCCCTCATTGTCAGCCACATTCAGAGAGTCCAGTTTGATCACATGCTCCATCACTCTTAGTCCAGCTGGCTTTGGTGAGCTACCATTAGATCAGTCCCACTGTCTCAGTGGGTGGACGCACCCCTCGTGGTCCTGACTTCCTTGCTCATGTTCTCCCTCCTTCTGCTCTTCATTTGGACCTTGGGAGCTCAGTCCAGTGCTCCAATGTAGACACATCATTTAACCTTCCAAATCTCTGCTTGTTTTTCATATAAGTCAAGTGTGTGTAACTTTAAAGAGTTTCAACTTTGAGATTAGGTGTATGGGTCCGACTTCCACCTTTGGGAGGTGGTGGGTCCATTGCTTTATTTCCACAAAAATATGGATGACTATCCCTGTGTATTGGAGGCTTGTGAATCTAAAATAGAAACAATGATGTATAAGCATAAAAGATCAGGTTTGGAGTTACAGTCTTCTACTAGATAATGAAACTCAACAATGACAATAAATTCATCCCACGTCACACAGATCAAAACTCCAAGTTCATCTGACTAGATGAACAGGCATGAGAGATTAGTAGAAGCCCCTACTATCAGGGACTCATGGGGCCAATGCCCATGTTTTGATTTGGACAGATAGCATGGATACTAATCATCGACAAATGGAAAGATGACAGAGCTTACAAAGATTCTGTCCTTCACTACATGCCCAGATCTCAGAGGTGCTGACCTCCAATTATTGCTCTTGAGCACTCTGTGACTTCTGCCTGGGGTTGAGACTAAGTTGTGTGGGAGCTGGGAGGAGGGGAAGAAAATGCACAAAATGCTTTAGCATCTTAATGTAGGGGAATGCAGGCTTGGTGGTGATTTTCCCACAAGATGTGCATCTATTTTGGAAGTCTCAGTACTTCACTACTTTTTCGACCATGGGAGTCAGTGTAGTTTTGGTTTACTGACTCACTGTCCCTGGAGAATGTTCTTCAGAATTTTAAATCAGAGAGGGATGGGGGTGGGGAAGCAAACAAAGGAAAGAAGAAAAAGTCCAGTGGTCTATTACAGAGATTTGGAAGTTAAAATAGAATGTTCTATTTTGTACCAATTAAATAAAGTTTATATTTAAAATACTGAGGTTATTTAAGACATCATTAACAAAAGTTCAAACTTAAGATTTTTTTCAGTGAATCCACTGTTAACCTAATGGTAAGAGTTTTTTAAAAAACAATTAAATAATTGCACTTAATTATAAATTGTGATCTGGTTGGAGAGAAAGAAAAAGAGGAGGAAGAAGAGAAGGAGGAAGAGGAAGAGGAGGAAGAGAAGAAGAAGGAGAGGAGGAGGAGGAGGAAGAGGAAGAAGAGAAGAAGAAGAAGAAGAGGAGGAGGAGGAGGATGAGGAGGAGGAGGAGGAGGAGAAAGAAGAGGAAGAGGAGGAAGAAGAGGAAGAAGAGGAAGGAGAGGAAGGAGAGGAAGAAGAAAAGGAAGACAAGGACAAAAATAACACAAGGATTTGTGACCCCTTCAGCCTCTGCTGAGGACATCTGGTGCTCAATGTAGAGAGTCTTTCAGCTAGAAAATGAAACCAAAGCATAGGAAACCTGGGACAGCAGGGGAGGTGTTCAAGAAAGAGGGAACAGAATCCTGGGAACTATTCATCAAAGCTCTTGCAAATGTCTCAGAGTGGTCTGCTCAGAAGGCAGCGAATGATTTCCCCATTGACTCCTCCAAGGCTGCGGTTCTGAATGGCTCCTGTTGCATAAGGGCCTTTCTGATCCCTTCTCTGCTATGGCCAAACAATTTTTTGTGGAAGAATTGTCTTATGGTGTCAGAGAAACACCCAACACAAGAGAGGCTTTTGGCACTGGGCCAAGATGAGGCCCTGTCAACTGGCACCTATGTGAGTCTAGTCAGTGTCTCTCAGAATAGGCCTCTTCAAATAATAGAAAGATATTACTCAAGATACTATGCATAAACATTCGTCTATCCAGATCTCTGTGAAAATCTGTTCTCTTATCTGCCATCCTGTTCCATTCCTATTCTGCCCAATGTCCTTTGTAAACACAGGAGTGCTTTTCTTCAACAGCCTTGTGCAGGAGTTGGCATGGTATCAGGACTGACTGACCTGATTGCCCAGATTGACTACCCTGTGGTTTATTCTTCAGCAGGTTCCTTTTAACCAGGACAGGGAAGAAGGATCTTGAAGTTTGGCAACATCTATTAATTCACTTGTCCCTCGTTTCCCTTTACTTTTGAGCACGCTATCAGATTTCGTGAGAAGCCGCCCTTGCAATCAGGTGTAATAATACGATGACAGAGGACTAAAGCCTAGTGGGTGGAAATGACACAGGCTACGGTGCACAAAGTGCCTCTCTTACTGTCCCTTTATCCTGGCTATTGCCTGTAGAGAGTTCAATGAAGACTTCATGTCTCTGAGATGGAGAGACCCTAGGTTCCGGGTTCACACAGTAGAAGGCATCGGGCAAACACCTATGTTGATGTGTTAGATGAGCAGTAAAACACACACACACACACACACACTGAGGGGAGGGAGAGAAACTTCTCTATTGTGTTGAGCTACTATAGCTTGAAGATTGCTTATTATAAAAAATACCTAATTCACTTTCAGGCGCTTCACATGGTTTGTGTATTTTAAAGAATTTCCCACAGTATCCTCACTTTCTCCCTGCAAGTCATTTGACGACCCACTGGACCATCTGGGGATCCAAGGCAGGTGGTGTTGGCAACTCCAGGTTCCTACCTGAAACACACAGAGTGGTAAAGAGCTTAGTTGAAGTGAAGGGATGAAACAGGAGGGGAAGAAGCGGGCTGGTAGCTGTGGGCGACCTTCTTGGTGGCCTTCTCGCAAAAGCTCCAGTGGTCCTAGGGGGAAATGGCTTATCCTGCTCTTATGATGGATTCTGAGTCCAGAAGGCAGATGGCAGAGGTGGGTGAGTTCTATCGTGGGCTTCCATACACAAAAGCCATGTAGTCAGAATCAAGAACGGGGGGACCCCATCCAAAGTGTTGAAGCAGGAAAGATGTTCCCCAAAACATGGCAATTACAAGCATTTATGGGGGGAAAGTGCACCACAAAAGACTCGTAATTACCAGTAGTGGCCACACACTGAGCCACACCACCAGAGGCATTGGCAAGTCCATGTCTGGCGCCCTAAGACCATGGCAGGGGGAGCAGAAGAGGATTGTGGCTGGGGAGAGAATGAACAGACTGAAGTACATATGACCTGCTACATGTTTCAGCCTGGATGACCTTGGCCCCATTTCGATAAAGAGGAATCCATCGTTGCAGAGAGTACACAGGGCATATTTGTAAAGTGAGTCGCTTTGGTGAGATCTGCTTTATTTTCTTATGCCGATCTTTTTCTGGGACCAGTTCTTCTTGTAGACTCTGACAGATACTGACTCTCTCTCTGCGCTGCCTTCCCTTTGGATCCAAGATGAACCTTGGCATGTTTGAGAACTTATGGGGGTAGAACTCAGATGAAGTTTGACATGGGCACCAAACTGCACCTTGTGCGTGAGGAGACACCGGAAAAAGGTCTGGATTTACCATCTATGCTCAATAGAAAACAACTCAGTGTTCTGGGGGCAGGGTGGGCAGATGGGAGTTATTGTCATGGTGTTGCTTTGGGAACAGATCCTCTCCAGGCACATCCGAGTTTGTAGGGAGCACTGCCTGAAACAAGCATCTGCAGAGATTTGGAATTAGTGACAATACATACGTCATGTTTTCCTTCCTTGACCAAGTATCCGTTGGGTTCTTGTTGCTGTTCCAGACTTCTCACTTGTCTCTGGGCTACAGTGACTGACACCCATCCTCTTTGACCTTTAAGAGTGTAAGACCTCTGACGTGTGAGGTAACACAGTAAATGTCCAGTGGTGATAAAGGAATAATTAGGTTAATTGAATGGAGTGGGATTAAGTGCACATGCGGGCAGGACTTTTAGGTAAAACCTGATGATAAGGAGCCAGCCGTTAAAGGAGTGGAGTATTTTTAGGCAGTGGGAGTGAGGACTGCAGAGGCCCTTGGGAGAGAAGAATTGGGCCTCTTCTGTGACTGGAACAGAGGCCAGAGATGATGATGCAACAATGAGTGGGGTCAGAGAGCCCGGAAATGAGCTGGCCCTTTAGAGCATAATTTCTTCAATGCAGGGATGCTGACGGCATGTTGGTGGGAGGCAGGGGGACATTCTATACAAGAGATGACATGCTGCTGGGGAGTCGTCCTATCCAGGAGAGAGTATCTAACACCTCTTGCTTCAGTAAGATGCCAGAAGGGACAGCAAAAAGTTTGTTGCGAGTTGAGAACTATTGCTTGGGACCACAGGCCCAATGGGGGGGAAGGTGGGACACTGAGCAAAGTCTCCAGACTATCAGACAAAGGGGGAGAAGAACAATGTCATAGAAATTCTGTGTGCCGACTTGGCTAGGCCACATTGTGATAGACAACTACTTAGATATTCCACCAAACATTATTCTGGATGGTTCAGTGAAGGTATTTTTGAGATAGGATAATATTTAAATCAGTTGACTTGGAAAACAAACCAAAAGGAAATGACAATGGGAGCAACAAAACAAAGGAGGATTTGGGGTGAAATAGATTGTCCACCATAGTGTGCTAGGTCTCATCCATCCAACAGAAGATAAAGATATGAAAACAAAAACAGTTAAATTCAATAATGAAAACATCTCAAGACCAGAAAGTTGAATTTAACAAAGAAATAGAATTACTAAAGAAATTCCAAACTGAAATAAAACTTGAAATGAAAAACTGAGGATGTTGAACAAAAGCTACCCAGGCAGGCCTCCCCAACATGTTACAAGGCATGGAAGAGAGATTTTTCAGGTTGCGCAGAAAAGGAAGAAGAAATGGGCAGCTCAGTCAAAGAAAGTGGGAGAGCTAAAAAATCCCAAGCACAAAGCATCCTGGAAATCGGGGCTACTATGAAAAGTCAAATTGTGAAATTTCAAAGTAAATGGATGGAACTAGAGAAACATCATCTTTAGTGAGATAATCCCAGAAGACAAGTATCATATTTTTTCACATATATGTTGATATTAGCTTTTAAGCTTTTGACGTATGGCTAGAATAAGAATAACCATGGGTGTTACATACATAGTAAGGGACCTCGGTGAGGGAGGAGTAGAGAAACTGTTCAGTAAGAAAGAAATACAGTATTGTGCAATGGAGAGACAAATGGGAGAGTAGAAAAGGAGACTTTTATAAAGGGGTCATGGGAGCGGCGGGTAAAGGAGGGAAGATAGGGAGGGACAACTGACACTCAAGGCTGTAAGGGGAGACTGCCCGTTCGCTTCTTGGCCACCAGACCCAAATAAGCACACACAACTTTATTAATTACAACACTGTTTGGCCGACGGTTCAGACGTACTTCTAGCTAGCTTTTACATTTTAAATTATTCCATGTCTATTATTTTATATTTTACCATGAAGCTTTGGGTTTACCAGTAAGGTTCTGGCGTCTTTTTCCTTTGGCAGCTACATGGTGTCTTTTCAACTCTGCCTATTCTCTCTCTTTCTCTGTCTCTATCTCTGTCTCTCTCTCGTTCTCTTTCTCTGTTCAAATTTCCTGCCTGGATTAACTCTGTAAGCCATTGGTCAAAACAACTTTATTCATTAAACAATAAAAGCAATACATATATAGAAGGACATCTCACATCAAAAGGCCATTTAAAAAAAAAACACATGGAAACCCATTACTGTAGAAGCTTTCTAAAACACATACATTTATGAAAGAAGTTAAGTGGAGTTACCAAGTAATAAGGGAGACAATGCTACAACCTGACATCCTAGCCACCAAGTTAAACCTCCCATGCCAGAAACGGGTTACATTTTGTTCATATATTGGCTGAAGGGTTTTCATGGTGTGTTTCAAATGTGACAGGCTATGGCTGGAGCTGTTGGTTCCTCTCTACAACATGATGGGAAGGCCCTGTTGCTGAAGTCAATATTTACTTATGTCCCTGAGCATGGAGAAGTAGAGCTGGTGCCTAGAAGGTTCACACCTATTGACTAGGGTTTATGGTACTAGAAGGTTCTCTGCACACTACTGGAGGAGAAAGAAATTCGTTAATGTCACGTAGCTACAAATCTTAAGACCTACAGTGGTGACATGCCTATAAGATAGGATGGCATCATGGTGGTAAAAACATGGGAGTTAGATTTTTTTTTAATTGGTTTTAGTGTGTCCACTCTATGAGATGAAGCCCATGCCTGACACTGCTAAATTGGTCAAGACGACTTTGGAAAGGTCATGGACATAGGGGAAAAATGAATTCTATTATTCTGCTAAAGACACATGACACTAAAACAGCTCCTGATGACATACCACCATTGCACCCATAGATCAGTGTCTTGCTCAACCCACACCAGAGAAGCTTCTTTTGGCTCTAGATGGGAATTGATACAGAAACCAACAGTTTTACAAGGTGCAGAGTCATTCAATTCTAAATAGAAAGTCTTCATCAACATTCCCCTGTCTTCAAGGCTCAGAGACCTATGCAGAAGAGAAGGCAGAAAAATTGCTAGAGTCAAAGGTGATGAATGACTCCAAAGAGGCAGCGTCTTCTAGTGTCTTCTAGACCCAGCAGAACGGATGTGCATATCAAACTCACAGAGACTGTGTCAGCACTTACAAGACTTGATCAATTTAAGTCATATTGGGTCCCAACCCTAACCAAGAAGCTATCTGCAAGTGATACCCACCAGCAAAGGGAAAATCAGTTTTTCTTTCCAATGTAGAATCACTGGGAATACCAACCACACTCCAGGGCTGGTCCCATGTCCAGGAATAGTTGGTGAGCACAAAGCAAACTCAATAATATTTATGTGGACTTTTTGCTTCTGACGTATTGTTTTGTTGTATTCTTCCTTTAGCTGTTTATTTTGATTTTCGCCTCTGTAGCTTTGTGGGATTTTTGTTTCTTGCCATTTGGTTTTTGTTTCTGAGAGAGATAGATAGAGAGAGAGAGAGAGAGAGAGAGAGAGAGAGAGAGAGAGAGAGAGCATAAATCTTGGGAAGTGAGGAGGATCTGAGAGGAGTCGGGTGAGGGAAAAATATCATCAAAATATACCGTGTGCAAATTTAAAAAATAAAAACCTAAGTACAAATGGTTATTTTGGGCTAATTTCCTACACCTTGGATCACATGAACAGGCGCTTACGTTGCCAAAGGAACATACCTGACTGTTCATGAACAAATCAGAGACCTACCCGTGATCCAGATGAATCTTCAGAAGTTGAATCATTCTACAAAGGAACTGAGCATGGGGTAGAGAAAAGATCTTCCCAACTTCCTGTCAGGAAAGTACACAGGTTTTATGGGGAGAGCAACGGGAGGAAGCTTCTTTTTATAGATGTTGGTTTTAGACAGAGTGCCAGTAATCATTACAGCACCCATCCAGTCTGCATCGTAAACGCACTGTGACCTGGCCTTCCGAGGAAGCTTGGCGGCTGTGCCTCCCGGGACACGTTGCTGACCCAACCTGAAACCCTGCTTTAGGTTGAGTCAGCAGCATATCCCATGACTTTTGGGCGATAGATTCTTTTATAGAGGACCATAAAGCAAAAGGCCCTTTCTGCGTAGTGTTGGATTTCTCAGAAGTTGTGACCAAGGGATTAGATGGAGGTGAAAGAGCGTGCAAGGCTAACAGCTAGGAGGTCTGCATACCTTGGCTGAGTCACACCCTGTCAGGATTTGTGGAAAGCAGGCAAGACCATGGGTAACTGAGAACGCAATGTGTTGACTTTGTCCTTTAGAAAAGCTCAAATGAAATAAATCCCTTTAAGAATTTAATTTTAATTCGTGGTACAGATGGTACATACACAGACCATTGGGCAGAAAGACAATCACTTTTTTTTTTTTTTGGTTTGCACTATTTCTGCTGTGGCCTTGGTTATATAAGTAATAAAAATTTTTCTTAAAAATTTTTCAATTTATTATCTAAATACACATTCTCAAGAAAGGGCTACATTAACATACTGCTACATAGATGTGATCTTTACTATTTTGACTTTTGAATGTTTATTGTTTTGATGTTTTCATAATTATTTGAGATTCCCAGCACTGGTAGATACGTAGGGCCAACCTTCCTTTTTCTTGGCAGTGGTGACCCACACTAGGTGCTGCTTGAGTAATACTGTATTATTACCTCCAAAATTTCCCTTTTTAGAATTATTTTTATTGAACTATATGTTTTTCTCTGTTCCCCTTCCACTCTCTCCCCTCCCCTTTCTACCTTCTCCTATGGGCCCCATGCTTCCGATTTACTCTGGGAATCTTGTCTTTTTCTATTTCCCATGTAGATTAGATCCATATATGTCTCTCTTAGGGTCCTCATTGTTGTCTAGGGTCTCTGGGATTGTGGTTTGTAGGCTGATTTTTCTTTGCCTTATGTTTTAAAGCTACTTATAAGTGACATATTGTATTTGTCTTCCTGAGTCTGGGTTACCTCACTCAATATGATGTTTTCTAGATCCATCCATTTGCCCTCAAATTTCAAGATGGCATTATTTTTTTTCTGCGTGTAGTACTCCATTGTTCAAATGTACCACATTTTCCTTATTCGTTCTTTGGTTGAGGGACATCTAGGTTGTTTTCAGGTTCTGGCTATGACAAATAATGTTGCTATGAACACAGTTAAGCACATGTTCTTGTGGTACAATTGAGCATCTTTGGGTATAGTATTGCTAGGTGTAATGGGAGGAGGACCCATTTGTTCATCCCTGCCACCCAGCTAGCTTGGCCCTGAAATAACCACACAGAAACTGAATTAATTAAATCACTGCTTGGCCCATTAGCTCTAACTTCTTATTGGCTAACTCTTATATTTTAGTTTAACCCATTTCTATTAATCTGTGTATTGCCACATGGCAGTGGCTTACTGGTTAAGTTTTGGCAGCATGTCTTACTCTGGTGGCAGATCCATGGCATCTCTCTCTCTGACTCTGCTGTCTTCCTCCCAGCATTCAGTTCTGTCTTCTCCTCCTATCTAAGTTTTGCCAAGGAAGTTTCTTTATTAACCAATGAAAGCAATACAAAGACAGAAGGACCTCCTACACCAGCTGGGTCTTGAGGAAAGTTGTTTCCTAATTCTCTGAGAATTTGCCATACTAATATCCAAAGCAGTTGTACCATTTTACACTCCCACCAGCAATGGAGGAGTGTTCCCTTTACCCCACATCCTCTTCAGCATAAATTGTCATCAGGGTTTTTGATCTTGGCCATTCTTAGAGGTGTAAGATGGAATCTCAGAGTTGTTTTGATTTGCATTTCTCTGATGACTAAGAATGTTGAACATTTCCTTAAGTGGTTTCCAGTCATTTCATATTCCTCTGTTGAGAGTTCTCTGTTTAGGTCTATACTCCATTTTTTATTAGAGTATTTGTTCTTTTGATGACCAATTTCTTGAGTTCTTTGTATATTTTGGAGATCAGCCCTCAGTCCAATGTGGAGTTAGTGAAGATCTTTTCACATTCTGTAGGCTACTGTTTTGTCTTGTTGACCATGTCCTTTGCTTAACAGAAGTGTCTCAGTTTCAAGAGATCCCTTTTATTAATTGTTTCTCTCAGTGTCTTTGCTACTGGGGTTATATTTAGCAATTGGCCTCCTGTACCAATGTGTTCAAATGTACTTCCCACTTTCTCTTCTATGAGGTTCAGTGCGGTTGGTTTTATATTGAGGTCTTTGAGCCATTTGGACTTGAGTTCAAACTTTTCTTATGTGTTGATCTCAGCAGCATCAACACTACAATGACACAACATCATGGTTGACAATTGCTTATCCAGCTTATTTAACTGTCATTGAGATATGACCACATTGGATATAGCAGCTTTGTATAACCCAGATATGTGTATTAAAACAGTTTATTTATATAGAAAGCATAGGCTTGCTAAGCATTATGCCCAAATTTTTACCTTTCATGAGGGAGTTTTTTGTTGGTTGAAAACCCTTAACTTCCTGCCACCATAATTTCCTTGTGAGTAGAAACATAGTAAAGTGTCCATTTTTAATATTTAAAGGCCAGAGGGAGCACAATAAATAGATAGGAGAGATTCGATTTGATTACAGGAATAGTGTAATTATAAATTAAGGAAATAAAGTCTGGTAGTTGACAAAGCAGCAGAATAGGTTTTTATATACATGTCTCAAGTACCACAGTGACTCAGGGCTCATGAAATGAGGTAGTGTCTACACGGATGAAAGTAAATTCTTTTTGGCTCTCTAAAGCAACAGATCTCTAAGTGGAGTGGATATATATGCTCAAAGCCTATTATAAATCTTTAAGGAGTGGAAGTAGATTTTTGTGTTCATAAAGAGGAATGTTCTCTCTCTCTCTCTCTCTCTCTCTCTCTCTCTCTCTCTCTCACTCTCTCTCTCTGCACAAGAACTAGTCTGGGCCTGGACTTTTGTCTCTTAAGAACCCATTTCTTAACGAACTCTGCATCATTTCTCTGATCTGTGCACAGAAGCATGTGGTCTTTACAGTCCTTTGTACTCTCTATGGCCCTAATTAGAAAACTGAACATTGCTCCTACATGTTCTCCTTTGAGTTTTCAAAACAACCCTGGGAAATAGGTAGGCCCAGTTTTCATATTTAATAGTATTTTATGAGTAAACAGCACCTAGACAGGCGATTAAACTTAGTTACCCAAAGTCTGGTAAAGGAAAATGCTGGAATGCTCAGGCCACTTGGCTTTTAAGTGTCTGTTTACTTCTTACATGTTGTAGGTTCTCGTCTCTTCATGGAAATTCAAATGGCAAAGAGGCATATATTGCTTCCTTTCTGATGATAACTGTATCAGTCAGTGTTCAACTAGGGAAGCAGAGTCCACAGAAAATCCACTACAGGGAATTGACTTAGGCAACCGTGCAGATTGACGAAACAGGCTTGCTCCCATAGGGCGTGAGCTTGGCAGACCAAGAGCATAGTGTCAACACCTGCTTGGCATCATCTTGGGTCATCCTGCTGGATCATGACATGGCAAAGGGCACCATGGGCTGAGGCAGAGAGCTTGTCTGTAGCAAAGTCACTTGCAAAGTAAGTCATCAACCTATTAATCCACAAGTCCATAAATGACTATATTCATGAGAGCTATGAATGTCTCACATGGTCCTAATTCTTAGTATCTTCCTAAGGCAGACTGAATTTCAGCATGAGCTTTGGTGGGAGCATTTAAACTACGGCAACATAGAAACATAACCTGAAATATGGAGTCTCTGCCATTAGGGAGGGCTTGTGCTCTCTTTCTAGGAGTTTCCAATTGATTAAGTCAAACCTGCCAGGGCAACCTCCTTATTGATTAACACAAAGTCCATTGATTAGAATCCTTGATTATACGTGCAAGATCCGCTCCTAGCAAACAAACATTTTTGAAGTTACTGAGCCACCAGGAAGAGATCTGTTTGTGCTCCTGTGTGATTGCCATCTCCTTTCACCCCTGCAGCTTCCAGGGAATGTTGTCTTGCATACAAGATATGTATAGCAGCCCTAAGAGAAAATATATCAAAAACGGGATTCTGGGGACCACAGCTCACCTGAATTATGTTGAAAAAGCACAGATCCATTACAGTAACAAGCCAAGGGCCCCATCTGAAATGTTTCTCTCTGGTGATGTATTTCTTAGCCTTGCACAAACATTCTGGTCACTGTGGAGTCAGGTGAGCAAACTTGAAAGCTGATTGGTCAGCATGAGTTCACTCTCAACATTTCTCCTCTCAGGTTTCAAGAACAGAGCATTTGTGCATCCTGGTTCCTGTGGATTCAATGTCTGGGAGTTTCCTGGAGACGCTTCACATGGGAAGGTTTATTGGTGGGTGCTGCCAGGATATAGTCTGAGGTTGAAATTGAGCTTTTTTCTGCTTACCATTTTAAGCAAAACCAAACCAAAGTAAAAGCAATCAAACCAAGTGAAGGCTAACTAAACAGTTGCAGCAGCAGGATGCTAAAATTGAGAGTGACAAGGAGGTCATTGCTTCTTTTTTAACCAAGTAAAGGTTTTGAGTCTTCCCTTGCCGGCAAAAATGATTTGCTAATGCTGGAAGTACCAATGGTTGACCCAAGGACCAGCTAACCATTTGTCTTTAGCGGGAATCAGCTGCTTCTTTCCTCTTGTCTTGCACAATTTTCCAGTAAGTACAAGTACATAAGATTTTCTAGAGATTTTCTCTCTCTCAATTTTTTTGTTCTATTCCAATCTTCCACTAATTGGGTAAAGCTCACTCATGTTAGGCAAGACCATTACTTAACTTTGCTGTAAATATCACACCAATCTGAAACACCTATAATAACACTTGTTCAAATATATGGGTGTTCCTTGACCTAGTCCAGATGACATAAAAGTATCCACTCTCCTAAGTTTAGTTTGAACTCTGTGGAACTAGAAAAAAAATCATTCTGAGTGAGGTAACCCAGATTCAGAAAGACAAATATAGTATGGACTCACTTGTAAGTGGATACCAGACATAAAGCAAAGGAGAACCAGCCTACAGTTCACAGCCCCAGAGAAGCTAGAACCCTCTTCCAGAAACAAATGGAAGCAGATACAGAGCCCACAGCTAACCACTGGGCCGAACTCCAGGCAAAAGGAGAGACGAAAGATAATGTGAAGAAAGGGCTCAAGACCTTGATGAGGGACCCCAGAGAATCAGCTGACCCAAACTTGTGGAAAATAACTGACCCCTGACTGACCACTGTGGAACCAGCCTAGGACCAAACTAGGCCCCCTGAACACAGACAGCAACGGTGTGGCTTGGGCCCCTAGCAGTGGGACCGGGATTTAACTCAAATGCATGAACTGACTTTGTAGAGCCCATTCTCTATGTAGAGATACCTTACTCAGTCTGCGCATGGGAGGGGAGGACCTAGGCCTGCATCAATGAGGGGATGAGACAGTCATAGCTGACTTCCCTGGGGAGACCTTAATCTCCCTGAGGAGCGGAGGGAGATGAGGTGGCGGGAAGTAGGAGGGGGTGATAAGAGGGAGGGGGAACTGGGATTAGTATGTAAAAATGTAGATTAATTAATAAAAAGATAAGTTTACTTTGATTCTAAGCATGAAAGACAAATCTCACTACCCTCAGTGAAGTTTATTCTCCTTGAGGCATTTCCTGGGTTTTCGTATGACTTGGGACATTCCTGTCATGGGCTGTCCTTCGAGTTTCCATGTCCAGCCACTTGCCTAGAGACACAGAGTTGAAACTTATTGCCTACATAGCTGAGAAAGCCACCTGGCTACCTGCTCCTCATACTAGAGCAACTCTTTTTCACCTGTAGATCATGACACTTTTGGGGGTCTCATGACCCTTTCACAAGTCAAATATTATATATCCTGTGTATCACATACTTATATGACTGCTCATAGCGGTAGCAGAATTACGGCCAAGAAATAATAACAAAAATAATTTTATGGTTTGGGGTCACCACAGCATGAGGAACTGTGTTAAAGGGTGGCAGTGTTAGGAAGGTTGAGAACCATTGCTCTAGAGGGGGGACCAACCTTCAGGAAGGACCTCCACCCAAGAACACTGGGCATTTCTGTTGTAGATCTTGGACTTGTGTTAGTCAGAGAAGGCATCCTTAGCAACTGCTCAGACTTACTCTTGTCCCTGTGAGTTTGATGAGCATGGTGGTATAGAACCTGTCAGCAATGGTTTCTGGGCCCAAGGAGTGCCAGCTTGTGCCTAAACTTTAACTTTGTAGCTCCTCTCACCAATATGAAAACTTTATTTCTGCATTTCCTAAGTCCAGGTTGATGAGTGGAGCTGACAGTGTGCGAGCTCTGAGCCTGGCCTCCAGGAGGCCTTGCCCACTTTGAAAACTTGTCCAAATCATCTATAAATAGAGATAAACCGTTGAAGCCAGGGCTGTTCTAGACCAGAACATCCAACTGGCCTAACCGCCAACCACAAATAGTTTAATAAACCTAGATGAATCCAGAGGGGCAACATAGGCAGCCCTGAACATAACCCCAAAGCCTGCTCACTGCTGACGTGCAGAACTGTGGGTAAGATCAATGGCTCTGCTCAAGCCACCAGCTCCGTAGCCGTTTTCCTCTGCCAGGTCTGACACACTTACCATTTTATTCGTAGGTTGGCAACCTCTCAACTGACTCCTGGAGTATTTTGTACCTCCCACTTTTGGAGTGAAGAATTAACAGGCTGTTTCTGCCAAATTGATATCTTACTCTCCACTGGAATTCTCCTAATACAGCGGAACTCCTAAACTCCCTGAAGTGGCATATGTACACGGGACAGAGCTTGGCAATGTCTTGACAACTTAGCACAGAAGCCAGATGACATAAGCCACTTACTCTCAATATCTTTTAAGAAGCTTTCCCTGGGATTCCCTTAAGGGTTTAAGCAGGACTATGCCCTGGCTTCCTTCGAAATTTTACTCAAGGAGGTGCAGGTTCTAACAGGCCAAGCGGCCTATGCTGGTGGCAGCCAGGCTCATTCCCGACCACATTCCTATTCTACTGCTAAACTGCTTTGACCCCAATGGTGTCAGAGCAGTGAAGACTCCCAGAGCTGTTCAGAGGAAGCGAAGGAACAATTTCAAAGGAGCTTCGTAGGTTTTCACGACTGTGAGTCATCTCCTTAGACTCTGTGGCTACCTTTGAAGTTCTAAACCACATGATGACGCTCACTTCTCTGGCAGCCGTGCCATTCCTGAGGCATCATCGCCCAAAGTCCTGACTGAGCTGAAAAGGAACTGTGATCACCAAGAAAACCATCTGTAAACTCTTCGAGTATGGTCGTCGGAATTGTCTGGCCAAGCTAGCTACCAAAATCTTGTTGAAGTTGGAGTTTTCTTAACTCTGAGGAAATTTTTCTCCCTTGGGACTTGTGAGACCAAACTTGAGTCTTTCTGAAAGATGTTGATTTTTGAGGTGATGTGTGTCTTAGCTTAAAAAATACTCAGGATTCTTCTCAACAGGTTATTAAAAGAGATCTTTCCTATTGGCTGAGAAGTCCAAGTGGGGCTGGGGAGATGGCTGGGTGAGTAAGAGGGCTTATGGGAAAATGTGAGGACTTCAGAATGCAGCTGAATGTGCCTGTAACCTCAGCACTGGGTTTGGGGGCAGAGCCAGGAAGATCCAGGGAGCTCATTCGCCGGTCAGCATAGCTAAATGCATTTTAAGTTGATTGAGAGGTTCTTTCTCAAGGGAATGAGATGAAGAGCCATGCAGTAGGAGACCCAAATACCCTTTGTCGGCCTTTGTGCACACACATGAGTGCATGTACTTGCACACTCATGCACGTATCGCACACACACAAAAATAAGTACAAGTGACTATCACCGAACTAATGAAAGAGTATTTAAATGTTTAATCCCCTGTTCCTGTGTGTGTATGTGCAGGGGTCAAAGGACAGCTTTCAAGAATTATTTTTCTTTTTCCACTTTCTCAGGTGTTTCGTGGGTTTCGAGGATCAAACTGTCAGCTTGTCAAGTACTTTTATCCACTGAGCCATCAATGGAGCTTTGAATGGAGTTGGTCTAACACCTTTTTGTTTGTTTGTTTTTTTTTTAAAGAGTGAAGACCTTTTTGTTTTCTTTTTTTTTAAAGAGTGAAGAGAAAAGAAATTCCAGAAATTTCTCCTATAAGACTAATCCAATTTGTCTCAGAAAAACCAAGCGTTCCTGTGTGTTTTTTCCTCTTTTCTTACATCACAATTAACAAAGAGAACTTTGGGCGGTAGATTCATGGTGGGGAAAGGAGCCCCTTCCCACACCAAGCTGCCAGTATTTCAGCAGAATACTCCCATATAATGAAAAATCTGAGAAATTTAGGTGTTTTTGAACCTTCATGGAGCCTTCTTGAGCCTGGCTTTGCGGCTCTGACTTCCCGGCTAGAGGGTAACCTGGTGCAGTCTTGGTCAATGAAACCACCGTGCGCACCTTGCCCTTGCTAGCCTGGGATACTGGGCTGTCTCAGAGACAGAGAGGAGAAACGGGTGCCGAGACTCTGAATCCAAGTGCAGCATCTACAATTTGGTTTGGCGCTACGTCATTCCTTGTCCCTGGCAGCAGCCTCAGAGAGAGTTTATTGACAAAGAAGAAGGAAGCACCCAGCTCCCTACTATGACTCACTCCAAGTCTGTGGGGTGGTTCACAGGGCCACCCGCCTGACTGCCCTGCCGGAACAGGAAGGCCCTTATTGCCTTCAATCGTTTTCCTGAATGCCTTTTCAACAACAGCAAAAGGAAACATTACTGTCTGGCTTCCAGCCAGGCTGGCCGCTTGGTACTTACAGCGCATAGAATGCAGAAGTCCGGTTCAGCCAAGACACACAGAGACGCACGGCTGCAGTTGCTTCTCTGTTTCAGAGGAAATACTACATTCCGCCGTAAACAATCCTGGGAGATTCAGGACAACTCCTTTTAGTAGTGGCAGCCCTAAACTGAACCTGAACATTTGCTTAATGGACCCGTTTCACATCCAAGAGCCCCATGGGGGCCGTGACACCACCACCCACTGATGCTACAGGAATAAAATGTGAAAGTTCCTACCCGCCGGCTGCCCCTGGGTTCTGATCACTCTGACAGACTGGGAGTGGTGGGGGAATGAGGCCAAGGGTTAGCGAAGACGGAAAACAGAAGGCAAATGTATAAAGGGAATGTAATTAGAAAGCCCTAGGCTCTCTAGCCTCTGGGCACAATTACAGACTTATAATTACAGGCGTACAGTCCAGGGCCATCTCTGTACTCAGGTACAAACCTCGGCTCCTCAGCTCTTCGCTCTTACTAGCTGTTTGCTCAGGGATCAATGCTGCCTTCGGACATGTGGTAAGAAATGGACACAGGAGATGGAATAGTCAGGACACTTTCCTCTTCGACTCAGTATTGATCTCAGCCCCCCTCCTCTCCCCACCCCCAGACCCCTGTTGCATCCGCACTTTCACAGTTGGGGCCTCACTGTGGTTTCCTGGGCCTTTCTTAGCTTTTTGCTCCGTGGAACGAAACTGAAGGAACAGAGAAAGGGAGTAAGGATGGGAGTCCCAGGAGGAGGTAGAACTACCGTTCCTTCTGTGTTCCCCCACCTCTCTCTCTCTCTCTCTCTCTCTCTCTCTCTCTCTCTCTGTGTGTGTGTGTGTGTGTGTGTGTGTGTGTGTGCCCGCGCGCGTGTGCATGTGTGCGTGTGTAAGCCAAAAAGATCAACCTGGAAGGTTGTTTCTCAGATGTCATTACCTAATTCTTTGAGCCAGTCTTTTGCTGGCCTGGAGCTCGCCAAGCCGGTGATGCTGGCTGGCTTTATTGCCCTGGGCTCACCCTAATTCTACCATCTCAGAGCTGAGATCGTAAGCACCACCAAGCCTGACCTTTACACACGGGTTTTGGGGGTTGAATTCGGATCCTCAAGCTTTCACCTCGAGCACTTCACCAGCGTGACCGTCTCCCAGCCCCCTCCCCACAGCTTCTTTCTTGGGGGTTCTATACTAGCGCTAGCCACTCCGTTAGCGCGAGATGGGTGGTTCACTAGGGATCATCAGGTGACTTGTCCTCCTAGATCACCTGTCCTGACACAGTGGTCAGTATGGGTCCACGAAGGACTTCCATCTTGTTACCTCAATTCTGCCTTCCTCAATTCTGCCTTCTCGTCTAGGCCTTTTATTAGTCTTTAACTGCACACACCCCCTAAGAGGCAAGTGGTCCTGAAGTGTTATGAGATGAAAACAGTTTGGCAAACTAGACAAAAAGCAAGCGAAGAGGCTCCTTGTTGCAGGGCAGCTCAGCAGCACAGTTGGGCAGCTCTGTAGGGCACCCCAGAAGAGGCTCAAGGACCGTTGCGATGGCTGTGGTACTGGCTAAGTTTTTATTGTCAGTCTGTCTCAGTCTAGAGTCCCCTGAGCTCGGTAGAAGAATTGCCTCCACTAGAGTAGACCGTGAGCATGTCTGTGGTGTTCTGGTCACTAACTGATGTAGGAAGGCCCAGCTGGTGCAGTCAGGAAGCAAGCGGTCCTGCACTGTGCAAGAGAGGCTGAGCCCAAGCCAGCAAGACAGCTTCAAGTTTCTGTTTCTGCGTTTGTTACGGACCCGGTTTTCCTCTATGCTGGATGGAGATCTGGAAGAGTAAGATGGAATGATCCCGCACCCCATCCCCAGTTGCTTTTGGTCAGTGCTTTCTCATAGCGACAGAAAGCAAACAAGAACAACAGCCAAGTCTTCATGACTTGCTGTTAGGAAGGAATTCTGGACAGGCATTCTTCCATGACCTGAGCAAGCCATTGCAAGAATACAGATGCATCAGACATAGCTAGAATGGCAACACGCTTTGTGGCTGCCTTCAATTTCCAGCCCTGTGGGGGGCTGAAGGTAGACTCCAGCCTCCAGAGAGGTCTTAGTCAGGGTGGCATGCCTGCCGCCTGCGTTTGGGACCCACCGTATCTATTTAATGTGCTATATGGCAGTTAGAGGAGTTGGAGGGGGTCAACCACTGTGACATCAAGTTCCCGGCAGAGGAGCAGTAGATAGAATCAGGCTGGGGTCTGTTGTTCCAGGCCTCATCTGTGCGGCATCGCTGCTGAGTAGAGTGAGGGCTCCCAAAGAAAACAGCTCAACTCGTCCTAAGTAGGATTCGTGTGTGTGTGTGTGTGTGTGTGTGTGTGTGTGTGTGTGTGCATCTGTATCACACCATTCTCCCATTTCATAACCATCTACAACCACATCATTTCTTGTGCTAGCTAACCTTGCTTGTCAAGTTGATGAAATTTAGGATGACTGAAGAGACAAGGTTCTGGGCAGGTCTGTGAGGATTTATTTTGATTAGGTCCACCTGAGATGGGAGGACCCATTCTAAGTGCTTGGCACTTTATGGAAAAGTTCAAGGTTAGCAGAGAGCCAGTGTTCATGGCTCTTGTTTCCTGATGGTGGATGCCGTGTGGAGAATGACTTTACGTTTCTGGCACCAAGCTTTTCCCAAGATGGTAGGCTGTACTCTCCAACTGTGAGCCCAAACAAACCCTTCCTGAGGGTGTTCTTTAAGAAACAAAAAACAAAAAGCAAAAAACAAAAAAGGATTTTTTTTGTCACAATTACAGAAAAACCAATGCAGAGCTTTTTCCTTCAAATGTCATATTTGCTTATAGGGTATATTGTCAGTGTATGTGAGGCAGATGGAGTCATCTGGTTTATTTCTCCAAGAAATAAGTCAGAGTAAAGCCTCATTATTGATGGCTACTTGCCTAGAACCCGAAACCCTGGGGACAGGGCAAAGGGTTAAGGTCAGCTAAACCATGCATACATAATTCTATTACCATTGAAGCCACCATCGCCTGCTTTTAGGAAAAATTAAAGATGCATCTGCAACTAAAATACTTGGAAGGCGGGTTTTGGGGAATCCTCCTCCAACCCCCAGAGGAAAATCCTGCGTGGCTTTCGGTGTTGTTTGTTTCCTTTAACGCTGAGGCACGTATGACAGCAGCGACCTGCACTGAGTCTCAGCCGATCACGTGGGCACGCGAACAGCAAAGAGTAAGAAGCCCTTGTCCTCTTTCTCATGTCACATCCTAAACAAAGGACTAAAGGGCCATCTATAGGGGGGCAGGGAAAGGGCGGCCAGATACCCAGAGAAGGGCTGTGTCTGGTGGAGAGTAATTCATCCAGAGCAGGAACATGGGAAGCAGCATGTTCTTTGACAGAGAGGAAGAAGGTGAGTTCGTTTTAGGAAGGCTGAGTGTGGAGTTCAGAGCAGTCCGGATATAGGCAGAACTCGGGACCAACAGGGAACTCAAGACCTGAGTGAGCATGAGATCATCGAAGAAGATAGGTCAGTTGCAAGGGTGGCCTGGGCTTCCTGCAAGAGGCAACTAGAAAGAGACAAGGGGAGGCTACAGGAGAGGACAATCTGTTCTTAGCCGATGTGCCAGAGATGTGGGCCTGGTATGGCCGGACAGTGAAGCTCTGCATTCAGCTGTTCAACAAGGCCTTGCTGCCTTTTGCTTTTGTTGTTGTTTTCATATCTTGTTACCTGCCATTTGTATTCTGACATAAT